TATATATATATATATATATATAAAAGATATTATTAGACACAACATAAATATCCTAAAAATATCTAGAATAAAATAAGGATAAAATAAAAAAAATGTTGACCAAAAAATCTCGAAATTGCATATCAGGTCCTTCAACTTTCATTTAGTGCAATTTGGTCCTCAAAATTTAACTTTTATTACATTTAGGCCCTTCCATAATTTCACTTCAAGTCCTTTTCCTTCTCTTTTCGCTTGTTATACTTCTTTCCGGGGTTTTAGCCTACAAAAGTAACAATTACACAATTATAAATAGAAATCTACTCAATTTTATCAATAATAAAGTCCCAAAAAGTGCTAAATAAGTGTGTAAAAACACACTTATCAGATCGTAACGACGAAATGTAATTCGAACCTTCATCATTCAATTTTCAAGTGCTTACGTGCTTCATTGTATCAAATGAACACGAAATGAGTAGAAATGTCGCCCATACGTTTGAAACGCCCAGCTGCCATTTTGGGTCAGGAGGTACCAGTTTCACTCTGAAACTAGCACAATAATGTTTAGGACATGATACACGTTCGGGACACGTTGAACGACTACACGTGCTATGATTTGCATACCACACTTGCCCCTTATGTTGTTCTTCATTGTCAAGTGGAGTGTAGTGTAGTCGGTGAGATTTTAGAGAAACTCACTATAGTTAGGACAAATGCGTGGATCGTAACGACAAAATGTAATTCGAACCTTTGTCCTTTAATTTTCAAGTGGCTACGGGCTTCATTGCACCAAATGAACACGAAATGAGTAGAAACATCGCCCATAAGTTTGAAATGCCCAGCTGTCATTTTTGGCTAAACAAACAGTGCCGCTGTCATTTTTATTAGAATCTGACTTACAAATCTATTATAATTGATCAAAATATATCACAATGTAAAGATTAAATAAATGATTAACATCCATCCATCCGTAACAAACATGAATGAACAAAAATGAACACGAAATGAGTAGACATAGCACCCATACATTTAAAACAACCTGATGCCGTTTTGGTCTGAACAAACTGTGATGCTGTCATATTTATCAAAAATCTGTCTGAAGTAGCTATCATACTTTGTCAGACAATTATCACAATATATCAAAAATCATCATAATCTATTATAATTTCAAGATTATGTTAAATAAAAAATGTTATATGCATCTGTCAGCTAGTGTAGAGCATTTTTCCAAGTCAGACGGTTATGGCCCCTCTGGCCACACCTACTACATTTACGAGTCTTTTTTCCCTCTCCTCTTGATGAAATTCGACGATTTTTTGGACGTCCACTTTTTCGTCGATTCGAAAGGGGTGGTAACACCTTTGGTTGATTGGAGATTTCCCAGTCAGCCTCATTTGCCAATGGATATATACATTCAGCATATGCTTGTTTTCAACTAGCACTGGTATAATAAGGCGAGCACAAACTGTAACAAGATATTCCTTTAAATTTCGCTACTGCAAGTGTATGTTTGCAAGGAAGCTTTTCCAAATCAATTTCCCTACAACTACAGGTTCTTGCCTACAAGTTCACGATATGCATTTCATTCTCAACATCGACGTGCAACTCTTACTTATTTATTAGTACCACTATCAGTCTCTTTGCATCATTATACTTTTTATGCATTTTATCCTCAATGGGTGGGGTTAGAGTAGTTGCACATTTTTCAGCCTCAACGTGTCTCTCATAAAACAATTTCTGTAAAGTTTTTCTTATTTGTTCAACCATAGCAAGCACTGGAAACTCCCGAGCATTCTTGAATAACGAGTTCAAAGATTTTGCATTGTTAGTTGTCATAATATTGTAACGGATTCCTTTGAAATGTGCTCGGGACCAAAATTCATACCCAACTTTCTTTTCTAGGTATTGTCCAACTGCCGGACTTTTACGATATAGATTTTCCATTGATTTTTCAAAATTAATCAAATTATACTTCTTTGCAATTGCCATAAACAATGGCAAAATATCGGGCTTAAGATAAGTTGACTTTATGTTTAGTTGTAGATGCCACATGAAACATCCATGATGTGCATAAGGATAAACAATCTTTATAGCGTTACCAATGCTATCCTTGCGATTATAAATGAAAACAAGCCCTTCCAACATACCCATTACATGAAACAACTTATCGAAGAACCAAGTCCATGATGCATCATTTTCAGAATCAACAATGCCAAATCAACCTTAACTGCTTTTCATTTTCAGATTTCGTTATACAACTCTGCATATGAGATTGTTTTTTATACAAAAATATTTGTTGCGGTGTCTTCATCATTCCCTATCCATTTCCAAATCCATCCATCTTCATCACTCTTTTCAAATTTAACAAAATAACAAATAATAATCATTACACTAGAGTCCATATCTTCAATTTTCAAACAATATATATATATATATATATATATATATATATTCAGCCATTAATTATCAAAACTGAATACTATGAATCACAGCTTCAACAACAAATAAAATGCCACTCATATTGTTACATAACAGATTTAAGCAGAACAAAACGACATTCTGTAGTTTAAAATGTGTATGTACCGTTTAAATTTATTTATGATAATAAAATGCTATAAAAGAATGGGGAAACAACTAATTTGCCTATAAGTATATCAATACCACCATTGTCTTATTAAAACGGCAGCTAGTTGGGAAAAAAAGGGCATCCAACTACTGAGAAACGACACCATTCTGTTTCTATATTTTACAGCAAATTTTGATTACGCAATCGATTTTTCTCATAGTATACAACTAGAAAATAACAACAAATCGATAATTTTCAATTTATAAAGCTCACCTTCAACTATGTGAAATTGATTCTTGCTAACCCATCTCCAAAATTTGCACTATTTGATTTGTTCTTGGTTCAAGAAAGGAAACTTCAACATGCAATCATTCATTGTATGCAACAATAATGCTTATGAAGAAGAATAAAGCTGAATTTGAAGGTGGGTTTAATATGGTAAAAATGGACTTGGAAACGAGAGAAATGAAGGAGATTTAGGGATTTATACTTGGAGATTTGGGTAATATTCATTTCCAAATTGGACATTTTAGTCATTTCAGTCTAAGGGTATTTAAGACTTTTAATATATAATCAAATAGACTATGGACTACTTGAACGAAAAGTATTGATATATGCTATTTTACCAAAGATACTGGTTGACTAGACTTCTTAAACAAAATTCCCAATAAAAAATTATCACATTGATGCGTCTAATCACTAATCGTGACATATATACCACGTAGGACAATTATAACGGTGAGCAGTACCACTTCTGTTTTAACTTATTCGAACATAACCATGGTTGGCTGTTTAAGTTAGTTATTCTGTTAAAATAGATAATTAAGCTTCTTTTTTTTTTTTCTTTTTTCTTTTTAATTTTTTTCCCCGGTTACAAATCATATCGTTCTTGACGACACTGTATCGAAAAAACAAAAATTCCCCTTCTCCCTCTTTCTCGTTTACGCTCCTCTTAACTCTAAACCCTAACCAGTAGATTTAGATACGTACATGGGTTGCTCCGCATCAGTTCCTGGTAAATTTAAACGTTTTATGGTCTATTTATTGTAATGGCTATAACCCCTTTAAACTTGAATCTCTGATATAGTGGATCTATCTTAATTGAGGTTGCTTTCGATCAATAAGATTTGAGCTGTGGATACTTTTGGGAATTGTTGTCAATTTGATGAAGGGTTTGGATTTTTTTTTTTCATTTTCGTTTTCTGTTCAATTTCTACGTGCAGATAGAAATGTAGGGCGGATAGGCGGGCTTAATCCGGAGAATGGAGGGGCGAATGATGCTAAGAATCTGCGGGTGAAGGTATATTTCTGCACCTTTTTTTTTCCCCTCGTGTTGTTGTGCTGAAACTTGCTGTATATCTGAACAATTTTATGCTAATTAAATTATATGCACTGCAAACAGAATTGTTCGACTACTCTGTGCTTTTCCGTTTTATAAATTCTCGCATGGACATTATGAGTTACACATCACAGTACTTCAGCTTTGCAAATTTTCATTTCTTTTCTCCCTTTTCCTGCAACTCTTAGATTTTTGTATTAAGTTTTGTTGGTGCAAGCTTCCTATTTATCCTCTTAGGTGAACCGCTTATGAATTACTTCAGAGTGTTACAATTTCCAAATTCATCAGCATATTGCATAATTCTCGGCTACAGTAGGCATTAAGCTTGAAAGTCCATGTTATTTTTGCAGTCTTATTATCCTGAGTATTTTATTCTTCAGTACATATTGATTTCACAGTTTGAATTTCTGGACTTTCTATTTCTATTTCTAATGAGAACAGAATTTATCTAAGTACTTTTTTTTTTTTAAATACCTGCTATGGGATTTTTGAACATTTGGTATTTACAATCCGTACAATTAGGGTGTTGATAATATGCACATTTATTACTTGAATTGGACCTCAAAGGAAGGAGAGATGGTCTATCTGCCGTAAAACCAGATTCCTGGTGCTTATAAATGTTTCGAAGTTATTCAGTGATTTAACATTGGAGGCAAAACATAGATGGATCCGTTTCCTTTTTTCTTTCTTAAATCTTCTTCATTGGCCTGATGTGTATAGTATATTTTCCTATTTCCCATATCCTGGGTTTTCTGTTTTCTGTTGCAATCCGCAAAAGATTCATAATATTGTGAATTTTTGCACCACTGCTGACTTTAAATGTTGAATTGCAAAGTGAAACTTTTGGCAAACTGGATTTTGATTTTCCTTTTGAGTCTTCTCCTTCCCTGTTAATCCTCTATTATTGTTTACTTTTGCAGTGATACAATTCATAACTTGAAACCCCACAGAAGTATTACTGACTGTTATCAGGAAAACAATGCCCTCAAAGCTTGACTCGAATAAAATTAATGAGGCAATTCAAATGCATTGCATTATCATACCCTTTATACAGAAAGTGGTATCTCAAAATCAAGAAAAAAAAATGTAGTAAATAGTGACTATTTTATTGGTGGCATACGAGTTAAAACCGAAAAGAAAAACTTTGGAATAACTTCAAATGCAATAACAGAGTTTGACTTTCAAGGCATGCCGTCTTTCAAAAGCAATACGTCCTCTGAAAGCTAAAATTTCAAGAAAATTATTATCTCCAGCAAGATGGGTAGCAAAATTTATTTATTTATTTGAAAAATAGTGGCCTCATTAGTATTTGGACAAAAGATGGGTTCTAAATTGAGGAGAAAAAGACAATTAACGTGATAGGATTGTTAAGGAAGCCTCTAACGGCAAATGGTATATAGTTTTCTTCTTGGGATTTCAAGTTTGAGCTCTAATTTAACCTCAAGTTATGTTAATATTATCCAGGATGTGCTGTAACGATTCAAGACAACTTATTTCATATGCCTGTCATTCTTTCTAGAATTGCATCTTAAGGAGCTTCGCCATATTGAAGAGTTTATATGTTTTGCCATTAATGTAATTAGGAAGTTATAAACTAGGTTATTTTAACTGCTGTACTGTGATCTTTATCTGTTCTATTGCTTGCAAGCTGATTATCACATGGAAACATGAAAGAAAAAAGCCCAGTTTGTGCATTTAGAGAGAGAGGGTTTCTAAATCGATGGTCCAGTAAGCATGACCAATGGAGGGTGCAGTACTTGGGGCAGGAGGCCCTTGACTAATCATTTTCTTTCATTGGAAACATTATATTAAGATATAGGGTTTAAATCTTTCCTTTTCTTTATTATTCTTCACGACCCTCAAAAATAGAGAGAGATTTTATTATTATTATTATTTTTTTAACATGCACTAATCATCTTGTTCGATCAATTTGTGCAGCTTGTGGTGTTAGGTAGTTCTGGGGTCGGGAAAAGCTGTATTGTACTCCGTTTTGTTCGTGGACAGTTTGATCCAACATCCAAGGTAACGAGGATATGACGATGAGCATTTATGTAGCCGACCTCAAAGTTAATGAAAATAAGGTTAAATTGCTTTTGTTGTTGTTGCTGCTGCTGTTGCTGCTGCTCTTGGCCATTGTCACGTTGTGGACCTTTTGAAATTAATGGGGTTTTAAATTAGTATATGATATTAATTATCAAATTCAATATTAATTCAATACATTCAAACATATTTTAATCAGAATTTGGGATAAAATAGAGTTCTGTTTGTGCTCAAATAATGTTTATTCCATACATTCAGAAATATTTTCATCAGAATCTGGGCTCAAATAGCGTTCTGTTACTTTATTACTTAAAACAAGCACAATGTTCTTTCCGATCTTTTGACATTCAACTCTACTCGTTACTTTTTGTCAAGCATAAAATTACTTAGCACAATGATTAAAATGTTCATAAATAGAAAAGTTCACATACTTATCCTCTATTTCGTGGGGATTAAAATCCAATTTTTAGTATATTTTGATAAAAGTTGATGAAATGTGTGGTTGAAAAGTTGCAAGGCCCATGAAATATGTGGTTAAAATTAATTGTTAACTTTGACATAGATTTTAGTAATTACCAAACAGGGGCTTCTTTTACTTGCAGGTAAACTTGCTTATAACTAAGTTTTTTAAGCTAAGCTATAAATGCTCAGTATAGTGTGTGAATAACATCTTCTACCTAGACAGGAAAACAATTTACGTGTCTATCACCAGTCTACTATTGAATGTAGAATCTCACTTCTCCAAAGTATCCCACATGAAGTTGATGATAATTTTATTGATAATTGCACTATTTGATGCTTTCAGGTAACTGTTGGAGCTTCTTTCTTGTCTCAGACAATTGCCTTGCAGGATTCTACTACTGTGAAGTTTGAAATATGGGACACAGCTGGACAAGAAAGGTAAATATTTAGTGGTCAAGATTCCAAGAGTCATTCGACTCGTTTCAATCTTTCCCAATTATGTAGGTGGAATTTCTTTTACCAAAATCCACCCATATATGTCGCTGTTTGTTTGATGAAGACTTATCATGATGAAGAAGCCTGTATTTCTTCATAGGTATGCAGCACTGGCACCACTATATTATAGAGGAGCTGCAGTTGCAATTGTTGTGTATGATATAACTAATCCTGAATCATTTGCCAAAGCACAGTATTGGATCAAGGTATATTGAAAGAGTAATGCTATTTAGCCCCACTGGGGTTGCAACCTTAGTCTAGGTGGTACTAAATGAGAGACTAAATTATAGTTGTAATTATTGTTAAGCATTTATCAATGTCATAGGGAACAATGCGAGTGGTAGCATGCTCATGAGTTTAGGAATCTTGCACATTAAAACTGGCTATGAGAACCTGGTTATATTCCCAATGTGCATTCTTGTTACCAGATCTCGTAAACATGAATGTTACACGTATACCAAAATATAGCCTTTTATGTTAGTTGATCTTTTCCTTGCTGAAGTCACTATTTACAATGACAGGAATTACGTAAACACGGAAGTCCTGAGATAGTCATGGCTTTGGTCGGTAATAAAGCTGATCTCCATGAAAAACGAGAAGTACCAGTTCAAGTGAGCAATATGTTCTATAATGCTTTCTTTCTTTTTGCAAAACCTTAGCCGATTTATTCAACAGTAACAAATTTCCTTTTGTTTTTTCAAAGGATGGAATCGACTGTGCTGAAAAGAATGGGATGTTCTTTATCGAGACATCTGCCAAAACAGCAGATAATATAAACCAGCTGTTTGAGGTACATTCTTAGAGCATTTTTCACCTAAAATTTTATTGCCTCGAGGGAGTAATCACGTCCATTTACCTGTATCCGGCTGTAAAATTCAGTAAACAACTGCACTTAGAAACACCGTTCTCATTGTTGCTTATAGTTGTTGCGATGAATACAATAACCAAAAATGTTATCTGAAATAGAGAATGGTCCAGAATTGGAGTTTGATGTCTGGTATCTAGAAGCCACCAGGAAATAGCCTACAATTTTTTATTTAAATTTCTAGTTTGAACAAGAAGGTTTTAATGAACCCGTTAATAAAACAGATTATAGATTGGTCCAACAAGTATGTTATTAAATAAAGAAAGCCCACACGTCAAATTTCTTAACAGGTGAAACTATCCCTGGATTGCGTCTAGATTCATCCCACTGTGTAAGAAAATCAAGTAATTGAAAATAAGTGGGAGGTCAGAAATCCCATGTTTTAGGAGATCTAGAACTACATTTTCTTCGCAGTATGAGCTTATGCAGACCCCAGCTCCTTAATAAATGAGGGGCTCAAGCTCTTCTCCGCACATCAATTGCATGATGACTACGGAATATTTAGCATCTTACTAGAATAGTTCAGTTTCTTGACTGGTATATGGTTTCATGATGGTGGCTGATGCTTTTTGGATGATTTGATTTGACAGGAAATAGCCAAGAGACTCCCTCGCCCTGCTCCTTCCTGATTTTGAAACTTTGAGAATTTAATTGTGAGCTACAGATTGCTGGATCTGCTTGTATCATACTGTATTACTGTTTTATGTTTTTCCAGGATTGCAATTTTATTACTGTGGTTCTGTTGGAGTTCTGTCATAATTTTTCAAAACTTGGGACGTAGGTTTACAGCCCCATCATATAAGTGTATTATATTCATAAATGGTACTCAGAAAATATCGCTATAAATGCATAGTTATATTGTGAAGTCTGAACCTGTTTGATTGGTGCCGCTGCTGATTCATAATAGTCAGAAAGTCACTAAATCGATATGTTTAAAGTTACTAATTATGTTAATTTATATGCGTTTCAAGGCGTGGGAAGACTTCAATATTCACGTCTTCTATGCTAATTGGTGACATTGTATATCACCCTAATACAAAATCGGAAATTTTTTGTTATTAACATAAGGTTAAGATTGTGTACTTAACTGAAATCTGACTTCTTAACCAAAGATGATGGTGAAATCGATAACTGGGTGCGATAAAAATAAAATGTCGAGGATTCTGGCTGGAGCTCGAACCTATGACCTCCAGGCCCTAAAGCTATAGCTAATGAGGAGGTACAATTCATTCTATATCGGTTAAAATCAAGTTGGAGAGCCTCACTTTGAAGGACATCTTGCGGAGGAGCTGCATTCTTCAATAGCGACAGTAGGCTTATTCTATTTTAAGCATGCGTCTACATTAGAATGTACATATAAAAATTTCTGAAACATATTTTGAATCGCCTGTGTTTTAGTTAACTGTATTTTTCAACTTAGATGTAAAAAACTGAGATACCTTCGGAAGAGTGTAAATGAGAGAGGCTTATATGTAAGGAAAATGTTTATACATTTTTTTTTTACAAATTGATGAAATGGCGATAAATTGAAATAAAATTGTTAAAATCTCTTCACCGCTTAAATAGTTGTACTTCTATAATGTGAGTTAATGACAAAAATAAGTTGAGGGGAATTATTATTATTTTATTTCATTGGTGAGATTTTGATTAAATCAAATCTCATCATGTCATCTGTTTGTTAACAAATTTGTAAATTGTAATGTAAATATAACACAATCTTATATATATTACATGTTTGACAATCATTTCATCTATAACAATTAAGGCAACCTCGTGGTAATAGGCCTCATCAAGCAAGTTTTTCGCAGTTCAATTGCGAATTGATCTATCTATTCGCAAGTAAACTTTTATTCTATAAATTTGCCAATTTGACACCTATTAATTTATTTTATGATTTGCCACATTGATAATTTTCAACCACACATTCACAAAATAAAATACTAAACACATATACAAAAAACTTTTCCTTACTTTTTAAACACACGTTCTCCTAAAAATACTATTTGAAATTCATTTTTTCCACAATTAATGAGAATCAAACAAGCTTCTTTAAACATGCTAACGATTGAATCCATATTTCATTTATTCCAGGATATTTTAATCAATTTAAATATCCATTTTAATCTCAATTTAATGTATCGCATGACAATCCAAAATTCAAACCATTAAAACCTCCCTCTATGTATAATGTATATATACACACACGAGCAACCCTACCTCTCCAAATTATTCAGATTCTTATCTCTGAGAAACAACACCAAATTACAAAGAAAGAAGAAGAAGATGGTTACATTGAGGAGTTCTGATAATGAAGAATTTGAGATTGAAGATAGTGTAGCAGAGCAATGCATAACACTGAAGAACATCATTGAAGACGATTGTGTTGAGAACTTGTTCAAAATCAATATAGTGTTGAAGTGTGGAATGTTAAAACTAAACGGTGGAAGTGGAATATTAAAACTAAATGGTGGATGGAACCAAACGGTGGGATGAAAACGGTGGAATAAAACAAAAAAAAAAAGCAAACGGTGGCCCAAGTTCTCAGCTCATGCGACCGTATGAGCCATGTGGCCACTTACCGAAAATTGGAGGGGCAGTTTGTGATGTTCCATGCGACCGCATGGATTAATACTATGTGGTCGCATGGGTAAGAAATCCGACTGTTGCAATATTGTTTCTTGTCGTTGAAAGTTCAAATTTTAGTGGCTTTTCATTATGTTTGGCACCACTTCGAGCAGCTATCATCCATGGCTATATATAGGTGATTTGTGATCATTTCAAGGGTGTGAAAAAAAAAACGTTACAAACATGAGAGAAACACCTTTTGATCCAAATATTATTCCACATAAAATCAAACCATTGATTAATTATTCATATTCAAATCTTCCTTGTGTTCTTAAAGTTTTGGAGGATCGCGCTTATACTTTAGCGCTAGATCTTTTATAAGGCTTGATATAATCCTACAAACCGTTTGCCAAAATCTTTAAGCATCTCAAATAATCCCGAGAGGAGGCAAATATAGTTTGAGGACAACGATTACGCGTTCGAGCCTTCATTTCATTATGTTCTTCATCTTCTTCATTTCATCATCTTGATTTTTTGGTTATTGGTTCTTCTCCAATTTCCTCGGTGATGCAAATTTCCCAACAATCTCAAACTATATTTTGGCGATGGAGAATGAAACCACTTTGGCGACAATCAAGTTGATGGATTGAGATCTTGTTCGTGGGGACTGTTTGATGGCTCGACTTGTAGGAGAACTTGAATCCAGATTTTGTGTAAGTCGAAATTGCTCTCCAAATTCGGTAAGTGAAATTACATTTTGATTTTACGCATACATGTGGACGTGTTCATTGAATTCTAAAAAATTCAATGTGCATTAATAAAATATGATTGGATCTTCAATCTAATGAAACGGTGCCGACAATTAAATGGACATCATGAAAGAAATCGTTTGATTTTTTGCACCGCCTTTATGGAAATAGATGAATCAGTCTCTGCATGTATTCATGATATTCTGAAAGAGGATTTAATGATAACTATTGTCACATGCATGATAAGTATACTAAGATACTACCATACTGGTTTTATTTGGCATATTTAAAGAAAGTGAGGATGGCAATGGACTTAGATGTCAAAAGCATATTCATTTCATTAAATGGCACATTTCGAATTTGTTTTATCAGACAGTGATGGTCAGATGATCATGAATTTCCATTATTCTGATTAAATTTCCACTTGTATTCTTAAACTGAAGAATTTGTCGTATTAATATGTTATTGAGAGAATGCATGAATTTAGCCTTTAAATAATAGTATGTTTCTTTGGTCTGAAATGCCGACAATCATTTTCCTTTATGATAAAAACCACCTTAAACTCTGTTTAAATATTTGACTGACCAGCCGCCAATAGAGAAAAATGCATGTAAGTTTATATGTGTTGGCATAATTCAATGGTCGGCAGAGAATGGTACTGCTGTTGGTCAAACATGCCGGGCTGCCTGAATCAGTCAAGGACCATGAAAAGGTGAATATGGTTTAAATGGATTAAATGGTGACTTTTCAATTTTGCAATTTAAAACCATTTGTGAAGTTGACAATTTTGTTTATTGGGTTTAATTTACTGGCATGTTTTGCTAATAAAATTCTGAAAAACGACCTTCATATAAAATCCTCTATATTTCATGAATAGTCTAAATGAATCTCTACTGATTGTCTTCTTCCAATCGAAACCTCGAGAAAACACTTATCAGCCATGGAAGGGATAAATGGAACCCAATTGTGCGGTTCCTAGTAAGGTTTCTTTGGGATATTATGGACACATTCATGGCTGATCAGTGGTAGGCGGTGGAGGAAGTTGCTCTACCGTCGACTTATTATAATAGGAAGTATGTAAAATGGGTGTGGTGCATTAATATCAATCAATAAAAGATTCATGAAGATGGGATAGGATCACAACATGTGATCATACAAGTTGGCATATTTTCTAGACAAGTGCATGTGATTCAGATTACTAAATGGTGACTCCTGATGTTTGGTGACTAATTTTCGAATGTGAAAATTGTGTTTGCATGACATATGGTTATGATAGCAGTATTAGAATTCTGTGAAAGAAATTCTAAAATCTATTTGGAATTGATCTAGTCAACAGATGGGTAAAATATTTTTGAGAATTTATTTATGTATTGAAAAACCACAAGGGCAGTGGTAGAGGGAGGCTGCCAAATATTTCAAAATGGATAAGTACTTTCATTGGAAGAGTACTAATTGTTTTTCGGAATTGCATAATGCTAAGATGCATAATTATAAATTTTCTACGTGATATGTTTGGCCTAGAATAAAGCATGTGCGTGATCTTGCTTTGTTATGGAAATTTGATTTTATATATGAAATATTCTAGGACCAATTTAGATGTAAAATATGTGATTTTCCAAAGTATGGCTTATTGCATTTTGATAAATGTTACTACATGTGGAAATGAAATAAATTGATTAGTCTCACTTCATTGTGACATTTGAGAATTGTTCACATACATGGGATTATAATATTGGAAGAATGCATTTGTTGAAAATGTTTGAATTTTCATTTCTTTGTTGAAGTATACGGGAACAGGAAAATTCTAAAGTGTTAGAATTTTATGAAAGAAATTATGTGAACTTTCATGACCAATTCCTTTACTAGAAAATGGAAAATTACATATGGATTACTCATCTCACTTTGTTGTAACAATTGGAATGGTTCATGTGCATGAATGTTAGAGAATGCAATTTAAATCAATTGTAATGGCTGAAGATTTATTTGACCATGGTTGTTATTTGGTGATTAATTCCAATATATGGGCTATCACATTTGCTTGGATGATATATCCACTTGAATTCCCTACATGTTTCCATAGGGTACCATTTACTACACAGTGCATTGGCCATTATGTTGGCTTATGGACTTCAAGGTGCAAATAAAACACATCCATATTTGTGTTTTGAGACCAGTCTATTAATATTTAATGGGTCTAAAGGATGTGCATAAATGTGGAAGGATACCTACTATTTGTTGAAAGCTCATGAAATTTCATGACTACTTATTCTATTGGAATACGAGAATCACTTGATAAACTTATATTAAAATGATGATAGCCACAAAATTAAGTGAGATGATCTTACGCAAAGTCGTGTGTGCATATAAATGTGACAAAATATGATTTTGTCCAAATGTGAATAAGGTGAACATATGCCTTATTGTTTGATATGATATAATCTTGTAGAAGTGACAAAGTGCAATTCTTGTTAACCAAGAAGCATAGTCTTATTCGAGAAACCAATTGAGTTGGTCTATGAGATGACCTTGATCAAATTGTGTGATCAAAATTAAA